CAGCTCCGGTGTATGTCTGGCGCCTTACTAAAATTTAAATGCACAGAGGTAGGACTGGGTTTTAGCCCAGTCCTCATGTCTAACTCAACCGATTAGTTCGAGGGCCTCAGTTGCTCAGTAAATCAGATGTAAACATCCTGCCAGATACCTAAACCAGGACAGACTCAGGGTTTGACCAGGTAACAAGAGCAACAATAGGGCGGATGAGGGTCAACAGACAGAAGAGGCCACAGTGGCATGGCATTCCCGCGACTCGGCCGCCTCCCCGCCCCTCTCTCTGCCCCAGGTCTACCATGAGCGCGTTAACACGCACGTGGCAGAGGCCGAATTTGACTATGCGCGCTGTGGGGTCCGCGACGTATCCAAGGCGCTAGTGGGGCTGGAGGGCGCACCGGCCACGCGGCTGCGCTTCACCAAGTGCTTTAGCTTCGCCAGCGTGGAGGCTGAGAACGCGTACCTGTGCCAGCGAGCGCGCTTCTTTGCGGAGAACGAAGGCCTGGATGACTACATGGAGGCGCGTGAAGGCATGCACCTCAAGAACGTGGACTTCCGCGAGTTCATGGTGGCCTTCCCGGACCCAGCCAGGCCGCCGTGGTACGCCTGCTCGTCAGCCTTCTGGGCCGCTGCGCTGCTCACTCTGTCGTGGCCGCTGCGCGTGCTGGCGGAGTACCGCACGGCCTACGCGCACTACCACGTGGAGAAGCTCTTCGGCCTGGAGGGCCCGGGCTCGGCTAGTAGCGCGGGAGGCGGCCTAAGCCCCAGCGACGAGTTGCTGCCCCCGCTCACCCACCGCCTGCCGCGGGTCAATACGGTGGACAGTACAGAGCTGGAGTGGCACATCCGCTCCAACCAGCAGCTGGTGCCCAGCTACTCGGAGGCGGTGCTCATGGATCTGGCGGGCCTGGGGTCGCGCTGCGGAGGGGCGGCAGGCGGTGGCTATGCGCCCACGTGTCGCTACGGCGGGGTGGGCGGCCCGGGCGCAGCGGGAGTGGCCCCGTACAGGCGCAGCTGCGAGCACTGCCAGCGCGCTGTCAGCAGCTCGTCCATCTTCTCGCGCAGCGCCCTGAGCATCTGCGCCAGTCCGCGGGCCGGCCCGGGGCCGGGAGGAGGCGCGGGCTGCGGGGGCAGCCGCTTCTCGCTTGGTCGTCTCTATGGCTCCCGGCGCAGCTGCCTGTGGCGCAGCCGGAGCGGAAGCGTCAACGAGGCGAGCTGTCCCACGGAGCAGACGCGGCTGTCGAGCCAGGCCAGCATGGGAGACGATGAGGACGACGACGAGGAGGAAGAGGCTGGGCCGCCGCCCCCCTACCACGACGCCCTCTACTTCCCGGTCCTCATTGTTCACCGGCAAGAGGGGTGTCTGGGCCACAGCCACCGGCCGCTGCACCGCCATGGCTCCTGTGTAGAGACCTCACTGTGACCTCCAACCCCTGGAGAGGTCCACGCTCCCTTCCCTCCTGCTCCTCGCAGACTGTGCTCCCTGTGTGAAGCAGGGCCAGTCACAACGGTGACTGAAGCTGTGGAGTGGGGAAGTGGAGGAGGAAAGGGTGCACCCTGATGGGGCTGAGACCCCTGCCGTCCCTGTACATAAAGAGACAGATGGGTGCAAGGGGTCGGCAGCTCCTGGAGAAACCTACCCTGTTAGAATCATTTCTCCCAGCCCCACCTCTTAGTTTTCTAAGGGGATAACTCCCTTCCCTACATGCACACTCGAGATATCCTGTCTGTCCTCTCAACAGATCTTCTGTTATTTGGCGCCTGTGTTGTGAGTCCCACGTTGGGCCTCATCGCAAGTGAGCTACCCTGTCTGTCCGTGCAGCCAGGAGGTGTAGAGACTGTTGGGAGGGGAACTTGGGGCTCCCTTTCCTCCACTGCCTCACCCTCCTGGGGCCTCTGTCTGCTGAGGGGGTGGTGGTTTGGTGACCAGCAGGTTGGCTTCTAGCCAGCTAATGCATTCAGTGGGTCTGAGGCTGGGACCAGGTGTCAACCCCAATACTCCATCCCAAGACTGTGGAAACGTTGCTGTCCTCTTCTTGCCGCTGACCCCAAAGATTGGGGTTTCCTTTCTGCCACTCCCTCCACTGTTGTTTATCTCACTGGGCCCCAGGAGTCCAGGCCCTGGAGGGACTGTGCTCACCAGGCAGACCTCACTCACTGTGGGCTCCCTGGCTGGGAAGAGCTGTTGCCAGGGTACAGGGCGAGGGGGAGGCAAAGTGTGGAGGGCTGTGTACCTTAGTCCTATCTCTAACCCTGCAGCCTCCCAGCAGCCTCTTCCCCTTTAGAGAGTGAGATGCCACCCAGGTGCCATTTATTAAAGCTGGCCAGCGTGAGTGATTAAGTGAAGAGAGTATGAGATAGACCTAGGTGACAATGGGGAATTCTGGAAGCAGGTGGGAGTAAGAGTCAAGGACAGTGGAGGGTAGAGAGAAAGGACCTGCAAAGATGGGGTATCTGTTAGGAGTGGCTTTTACCTCCCCCAGACCTATGAGGAGGAATGGAGTGTGCTTGTCCCTCACACAGGCTTCTGCAGGGCTGAGGACAGCACAAGGGCCATCCGGAGAAATACTCAATTCCAGTGGCAAAGTCAGAAGCAAGAATTCTCTAAATCTTGCCTGGCCCCTCCAGCCTCTCCTGTCTCATGAGCTGAAGCCCTACTTTGTGTCACATGGTCTTCAAAGGGGCATCCTTCCAGCACCCCATTGAGCTGGCCCCATGTTCTGTTCCCCGAAAGTTCAGACACCACCTTCTCTCCCTATGCTCACCCTTACCACCTCCACCCCAATGTGCTTTGGTGTGCATGTCTGTGAACAACCTCCTGCTAACGTTTTTCCCAGCAGATTTAGCACCCAGGGATTGAGCTCACATTTCAGGCAAGAGAGGATAACCCTTGGGCCATCCAGGCATTGCTCACCCCTCATGCTTCTTACTTTGCCTGAGCCATCAGAACTCTTTCTTCTCCACCTTCAGCTCCTTTCACCTTCCTCTAGCCCAGCCAGACCAACGGCCGTGCCTCTACCTATGCAACATCGCCTCTGGCTCCCCTCCCCTCTTTCCCAGGGGGAATGTTAGGGGCCCAAATTATAGGGACACCATGGCCTATGGCTGCTCAGTCAGTTGAGCTTTACTTTCATGTAGAGATGGCCAAGCAAGGAGAGAGGGGAGGCCAGAGAGGAGGCTTGGGCAGGAGGAAACAGCTACCCACCAGGTTTTCCTGGGCAGCAGTGCCTACCTGACTGCTAGCACTGAGCCTGCCTGAACCCTGAGTCTGTGCTCTGCTGGACCTGGCAGTTAGAGCATCCCTCTTTCCTCTGAACAGACAACTGTGAGGTGCAGATGGTGAGCTGTGGCCTCAGGCCCCAGTTCTTGGCCAGCTGGCACCTGGATGTCATGTTAGTGAAGGGGTAACCTGGCCACCTTGTGGCTCCAGGAAGGGAGGGACTTAGTTCCTCCTCCCTCTGGCCCATTCCTAAAACAGAGACTGGCTTCAGAAGGGGGGGGGGGATTCCTGTTATTATTTTTGCCTGTATCAACCATTTCTGCCTAGGTCTTTTCACGCAAACAGCCTCAACTCTCTCACACACACAGACTTAGAGAGAAACCAATTCTTTGGTCTATTTTCTTGGTAGCTTTATTGATTGCCAGGGAAAATGAAAACCAGAAAATTAATTAATCTCTAAAATTAAACTTTACACTGAATGTTCTTGTTTCTCTAATTAGAACCTCTGCTAGCAGCTGTGGCTACATACACACACACACCCTCACACTTACACGTTTGCACTCCAGAACTGTCAGAGGGTATCAGGCACAGACAGACTATAGTTGCCCAGACAGGCACATACATGCAGACACTCCCAAGCCCCCTTTGGTGCTCTGCTCAGCACCTGCTTGTTGGAAGGAGTCCCTGGAGAGCAGATATTCCTTCACTGTGGTTGCAGCCCATCATTCACCCTTTGGGGATGTGGGTCTGGAGGCTCTGGGGCACTCAGCCCAAGGAGAATGGGTGCTCCTGAATCCATCAGGTTCTCTTGTGGCCCTGTAGGCTGATGTGATTCCTGTAGGTGTGGCCCCAGAGTGGGCAGTTACACAGAGATAGGGACTGATGGAGCACATTGGGAAGGCTTCTTGTGTCCTGGGGACGAGGGCTTGTGGGGTGGGCTGGGCCTGGCTGGGGAGAAGACAGGTCTCTGTCAATTGGGTGCATCACACTGTGGCCTTTCTGTTGTGGATTTCCAAGCGCAAAGATTGTACAAATCAAACTGGTGGATAATAAAGTTGTGGATGACTCACTGAATTTCCTGCCCAGTAAGGTACTTCTTTTCCTACTGCCTTCCTGTGAGAAGCTCACTGGGGTGGACGGCAGGGATAGTGCCATCTTTTGCTAACAGTTGCCATCTACGATTGCCTCCCTAGGAAAACCCACTATGTCTGATCCCCTCCTATCCTCTGTTGTCCTCTCTCCAGGTTAGATGGCATGGCTTGTAGAACTGGGTCACTTAAACTAGAGCCAAGCAACAGGGAGGTGGCATCTGCAGCGGAAAGGGTTGGCAGAAAGAGACAGGCATAGCTCTGCTGTAGCCAGAGATGAGTGTGTGTGTGTTTGCATGTATATATTTGAAAGTCAAAGATATGTTCAATATATCAGAAAGAAAAGAAAATTGGGAGAGGGGTTCGGGGTTAGGAAGGTGGGTAGCCTCCTGGGAGAGTCTAGGCAGGTATAGTTCCTCAGAGTCCTCTCTGACTTTTCTATTCCTGGAAGAAGGTGATCACTTGTGGGGGTCCATGGGCACAGGGGCTGCCACTACATACCCCTTCTCCCCCCATCCCAGGTTCATTTCTTTGTCCATAGAACTCTGATCACTCACTCCAAGGATATGCATGGATTCCTTTCCACCTCCCTCTGAACCAGTGTGACTCTGCAGCAGGTGTGACAAGGAAATGAAATGAGAGATGGGGCTGGGCAGTGACCCAGTGACCAGGATACTGCCCTGGTCCTGTTTCCCACCTCATCCTGCAGAGTTCTCAGGGCCATCAGCAGTGATTGGTGACATGAACTGGATAGGATTCAAGGCCCGCTGGCGGGCTGCTTCTCGGTTGGCATTGAGGGCTTGGCCAATGAGGTACTCGCTCTCCTGGGCTACATCGGACAGCCGCAAGTCAAACTCCAGGAGGGTCTTGTTGTCTGACATGCCTTCTAGGAGCTGCTTCCCACCATCCTTGGAGAGGGGTGAAAGGGAAAGGGTCATTTTACATCACTATCCAGGATCATACCCACATATTACATACAGATGTGACTAAAAGGTTCACAGAATAGTACTTAACCTATTTGTTCTGAACATTGACATATTCTATTCCATTCCATTTGGAAAATGATAATCAAGACCCACTGAACTGATTTCTCAATGCCAACGGTTTAAAAACATGAATCTCTGGCAACAATGATACCCTTCCTTGGTTCAGCCTTGGGCATGTGGGACACATCTATCTAATGAGATTTGAGGGGGGAGTTGAGAGTTGTTGGCTTCTGGGAAGGCTTACCCCACTCTGAAAAGAAAACTAAAGGGGCTGGGGGATGTTCTAACCTTTTCTGCCTTTCGGCATGTCCCTTGTGTGAGATATCAGAACTGTAACAGCCATCTTGGGGCCGTTGGAGAAGCACCAGAGAAGGCCACTGCCACGTGGCCTGAGGCAGGCAGAGGAGATGTTGGAACTCAGCTAAGGGGTTTACCAATCCCACAACTCTGGGGCTTCTGGCTATGGGAGATATTGAATATTCCTCTCATTTAAGTTATTTCTTGGTTACACTTTCTATTACTTACACCAGAGCACCCCCTCTGGAGACCATATGTACGCATGTGTGTTTATGTGTATGCGTCCACATGTATGGGAGCAAGGATGTTCTCATGAGAAGATTTAGTAGAGGGTTCAGGGACAAATTAAGAGTACAAAGAACGTCCCTCTCAGTAGTCCTCAAAGCACCAGCCCCTTTTGAGTTAGGTAGGCCTGTTTATTATCCTTGGTAGAGTGCCATGATGTCATAGCTCACAGCAACCTCATGTTCTTGGGTTTAAGTGATCCCATAGGTAAGTGCTATAACATCATGGCGCTCTACCAAGGGTGACAAACTGAAACTCTTTCACATTGGGAGGCAGAATGCTGCCATTCTATGATTGTGACCCAATAGTGTGTAGCAAAATCGATTTAATGGGTCAAAAAAACATTGTAAAACATGAAATTGAGCAGAATACAAAGGCAAACATCATCACCAGTAAGTAAATTCAATGATATTATGTTTATGTGAATGTTAAGTAAGTGTTCATGTAAATTATATTTCTTACTCTCTGACTTGGTCAAGAAAGTTTGGGAGACAGCATCTATTAGAAAGGACTCAGGGTTTCAGTGATTCTTGGGTTTGAATCACAGCTTTGCCACTGTTTACAGACTTGATGCTCTTGGGCAATTCACTAATTTCTCTAGGATTCAATTTTCTGTCTGGGAAGTAGGGTTAAGAATATTCATCTTAGCCATGTGCAGTGGCTCATACTTATAATCCTAGCGCTCTGGGAGGCTGAGGTGGGTGGATTGCTTGAGTACAGGAGTTCGAGACCAGCCTGAGCAAGAGCAAGACCCCATCTCTAAATGTGGCTGGGTGGGGTGGCACATATGGCTGGCTCGGTGAATAGGGCGCCAGCCCCATATACTGAAGGTGGTGGTTTCAAACCTGGCCCTGGCCAAACTGCAACAAGAAATAGCCAGGCATTGTGGTGGGTGCCTATAGTATCAGCTACTTGGGCGGCTGAGGCAAGAGAATTGCCTAAGCCCAAGAGCTGGAAGTTGCTGTGAACTGTGATGCTAAGGCATTCTACTGAGGGTAACAGAATGAGACTCTGTCTCAAAAAAAAAAAAAAAAGCTTGGTGTTGTGGTGGGTGCCTGTAGTCCCAGCTACTGGGGAAGGTGAGGCAAGAGGATCACTTAAACCCAAGAACATGAGGTTGCTGTGAGCTATGACATCATGGCACTCTACCATGGGTGACAAACTGAGACTCTGTCTCAAAAAAAAAATTTATCTTAGTTAGATAACTCTAAGGATTAAAGGAAAACTAATGGCTATTGGAATACAAATATTAGCATAGCATAGCACATGTGCATACTTGATACAGTATGTAGTATGTAAAGCCTGCCCTCACAATTATCCTTGCAAACACCCCATGACAGGTGGATTGCACACTTGTCCCTCAAGGGCCCCAGAAGCAGTGACTCACCAGCCCAATGTGGTTGCAGGATAGGTTGATGCTGGTAAGTGTTGTGTTGGTGGATAGCACCTGGGCCAGGAGTGTGGCAGTGGGCTCTGACAGCTCATTGCCACCAAGGTGCAATGTGGTGAGGCACTTGTTGGTGTGCAAAGCATGGGCAAGAGCCTGGCCACCCTCATCTTCAATGCAGTTGAGACGCAGGTTGAGAGAAATGAGGCTGGTGTTGTGTGCCAGAGCATGAGCCAGTGACTGGGCACCGGGCGCACGCACCTGGTTGTTGGCCAGGTTGAGCACACGAAGGCGGCTGTGGCTCAGTAGCTTGGCAGCACCACGTGCACCACGGTCCCCAATGAGATTGTGTGACAGATCAAGCTCCTCAAGGACCGGGTGGTCAAGGAGGCTTCGAATTAGGATGCGTGCCTTGTCATCATCCACCTTGCTTCGGGTCAGTCTAAAGATCTGTGGGCAAGCAGAGGGTTGTTAGCACCAGCCTGCCAGGGCTAACCTGTCTGCCCACCTACTTCTGTAGGTAGAGGAGGGAGTGGAGGGAATCCTGGGGCTCTGCTCACCTCACCTCTGCTCACCTGCAGGCCTACCCAGGGCAGAATGCTGCAGAATTGGTGGCAGATAGCAAGGAGGAAAGGCTACTGTTTATTAAGCAATTAATTAATTAATTAATTTTGAGACAGAGTCTCAAGCTGTCACCCTGGTTAGAGTGCTGTGGCATCACAGCTCACAGCAACCTCAAACTCCTGGGCTTAAGCGATTCTCTTACCTCAGCCTCCCAAGTAGATGGGACCATATTAAGCAATTACTATGTGCTGGGTATGTTGCCCGAATATTTCATAGCCATCATCTCTAACCATCAGTATCCTAATGAAGAAGTGTGAGTTCTCTTTATTTTACAGATAGAAAATGTGGGTTTAGGACAGTTATATCATTTGTCCAGAGTAACACAGTGATTGGACGGCAGAGGCAGGTTTGGAATTCAGTTCTATCTGGTGCCCCCTCCTCAGCTGGCTTAGATCTGCCATGGCAAGGAGAGAAACTCGTTGGATGAAGTTGTCAGGAAAAGATCCAGGAAGAAAGTGGTGAGGGTGAAAAACAGGGAAAGGATGGGAGGAAGAGATAAAAGAAAGGGGTGATGCTATAGCAAGAGTATGGAAACTGTTTCCTTTCCTTCCCACTCCCTCGATCCCCTCTCCTCTCTCCTTGAGTCCTCTGAGTGGCTGGCCTCTACCCCCATCCTTCAGTTCACTCTGTTTCTCCATACTTTATCTGGTTTAGAGGTTTTTGTCACTCTTCTCTTTTCACTGTATCTATCTGGCAAAGCCCCAACCCTGGATCACCTCCACTCTCTATTTTCTTTTCTTTTTTTTTTTTTGAGACAGAGCCTCAAGCTGTCACCCTGGGTAGAGTGCTATGGCCTCACAGCTCACAGCAACCTCCAACTCCTGGGCTCAAGCGAGTCTCCTGCCTCAGCCTCCCAAATGGCTGGGACCACAGGCGCCCGCCACAACGCCCGGCTATTTTTTGGTTGCAGCTGTCATTGTTGTTTGGCGGGCCCAGGCTGGATTCGAACCTGCCACCCTAGGTGTATGTGGCTGGCACTTTAGCCTTTTGAGCCACAGGTGTTGAGCCATCCACTCTCTATTTTCTGCACGTCTGTGCACAAACAACTGACATGATGGAGAAACGTCCTTAGCTCAGTGGTTAGGGCACCAGCCAGGTACACCAGAGCTGGCAGGTTCAAACCTGGCCCAGGCCTGCCAAACAACAGTGACAATTACAACAACAACAAAATAGCTGGGCATTGTGGCAGGCACCTGTAGTCCCAGCTACTTGGGAGGCTGAGGCAAGAGAATCACTTAAGCCCAAGAGTTTGAGTTTGCTGTGAGCTGTGATGCCATGGCACTCTACCGAGGGTGACATAGTGAGACTCTATCTCAAAAGAAAAAGAAAAATGTCATCTGAGAGGACTGGACTGGTTGGTATCGCTGGAACCACTAACAGGCCTGAAATGCTGTGTGCTGATCCAACTATGTTTCTCTGACCTTAATAGTCTCTCACAATCTACAACTATTTCAATTGTCTTTAGGCTCCTCAGACTTCAGGGAGCCTCCCTGTTGAGCCCCCTGTCAGCAGGTGAATTCTCTTCCTGCTTTCCCAGCCACTGAATGGGAACCCCTCATTTTCCTGATACCAAACACAGATCTGTTGCTACCCACCACATCCCCCTTTCCCATTGCCCAGTACCAACTGCACCCCCACCCCAGTCCTAGGTCCAACCCCTTCACCCTTCTAGGGAATCTTCCTTTGTCTATTAATCTGTGCCTCTCTCCGATTGTCAACCCCTTCCTTGCAACTTGATGGAGAGCTTTATAGTGGTTTTAAACACATGCACATTTCTTTCTTTTTCTTTCTTTTTTTTTGAGACAGAGTCTCACTCTGTCACCCTTACAGTACCATGGTGTCATAGCTCACAGCAACCTCAAACTCTGAGGCTCAAGTGATCCTCTTGTCTCAGCCTCCCGAGAGCTGGGACTACAGGAGCCTGCCACTATGCCCACTTGTTTTTCTATTTTTAGTAGAGATGGGGTCTCATTCTTGCTCAGACTGGTCTGGAACTCCTGAGCTCATGCACTGTACCCACCTTGGCCTCCCAAAGTGCTAGGATTACAGGCATGAGCCATTGCACCCGGCCACATGCATATTTCTTAAGAAAACCTGAAGCTCTCATTTATTACTGCTCTACCTCTCCCCCTTCATAGCCAAGTTCTTGAAAAAGCTGATCATAGCCATCCATTCCTCACTTTGCACTGTCCCATGAACCTCTGCTATCTGGCTCCTGTTCCTGGATAGTAGCTTCCTCTCAGTGACCTCCACACTTGCTAAGTCTAGTCTCCAGCTCCGCTCCACCCCACTGGTAACTCTATTTGAAATATACCCCTCCCTTGGCTCTGTGACACAATGCCCTGTCTCCCCTTTCTTCCTTCCTCCAGTTTTCCTGGCAAGCATTCTTTCTTCTGCCAAGACAACATGTCAGGTCTCTTCTTACCTCATGTTTGGCTTTCCCTTAGGAGACTCCATCTAAATCCAGGGCTCCAACTACCACGTCCACAACGAGGCATACATTTCCATGTTCACTCTATACCTTTCATCTGAGCTTCAGGCACTCTACCCAACTAATGAAATGACCCTTTCCTTGGGTTGCCTCAAACTGGAACTCATACTCTTCCTCCTCAAAACTGGTCCTCATCCCACATTCCCTATTTCCTACAAATGGCCCCTCCAGCCGTCTGGCCTCATGAGCCAGAAGATTTGATACCTCCTTGACCCTCATTTTTCTCTAGACTCTCTTTATACCAGCAAGTTGACCTGACTGCCTAAATATCTCTTGAATCTCTCCATAGACATTATCCAAGTTCAAACTGCCCTCATCTTCACCTGGACTTGTCAGTGGTATCCTACGGGATCTACCTGTTTGTGGTTGCCCTGCCCACGCCATTCTCCTTCAGAGAATGATCTTTTCACAAGTAAAAATCCAATAACATCACCTCCCTTTCTGCCTAAAACCCTTGGAAGGTGTCCCAGAGTAACTAAGGATAAACACAGACTTCTTAGCAAGGCCACCTTCACTCAGTGAGGCTGACCACTGATGGCCTGTCCACTTTTATCCCACCCTGCTCCCTCTTGGTTCTAGTCACACAGCCTTCTCTCTCAGCAACACAAGCTGGCCATGTTCACTCTGCTGGGCCAGTTCACACAGAGACTGTATGTGCTTCTCTTTCTGCCTGGAATGTTCTTCCTTCTTTCCTTAGATTGTAATTTCTACTCCTTCTTCTAATCTCTATGTAAGTGACATTTGCTCAGGAAAGACTTCCCTGGCAAGATCAAATTCCCCTTTCATAATCTCTCATAAGAGTATATCTGTTTTGGGGTGGGCTCATGCCTATAATCTCAGCACTTTAGGGCTGAGGAAGAAGAGTTGCTTGAGGTCAGGAGTTCGAGACCAGCCTAGTCTAGTGTGTGACCCTGTCTGTACAAAAAGTTAGCCTGGTGTGGTGGTATGCACCTGTAGTCTTAGCTACCTAGGAAACTTGAGGATTGCTTGAGGCCAGGAGTTCGAGGCCAGTATGGAAAACATAGCCAGACACCATCTCTACAAAAAATAAGAAAAATTAGCTGGATGTGTCCTCCAGCTACTTGGGAGGCTGAGGTAGGATCGTTTGAACCAAGGAGTTTGAGGCTGCAGTGAGATATGATAGAGCCACTGCACTCCAGCACAGGCTTTTACAAAGCAAAACCCTATCCATCCCAGTTAAGGGTTGGCAGAAAAAAATACAGGATGCCCAGTTAATTTAAATTTCAGATAAACAACTATGTCCCATAGAGTATTTGGGACATACATATGCTAAAAAAATTGCTTGTTATCTATCTGAAATTCAAATTAAACTGTATGTCTTGTATTTCTATTTGCTAAATCTAGCAACCCTATTATAGCTGCAATTTTATGTTTATATGGTTGCTGATCAGCGCCTTTTATTCCACCAAACTGTTAGCTACGTAGGGCACAAATGGTACAGTTTTTTGCTCATTGTTTTATCTTCAGCACTTGAGACAGAGCCTGGAATGCAGATACTTGTTCCCTGGAACAAACTGTGATCTGGGAGGGCAGTGCCTTGTTCATCTCTGCACCCCCAGAACCCAGTAGCAGGGTGCAGGATGCAGTCAAAAACACTTGGTCAATGAAAGAGAAAAAAAATGGGAGGAAGAAGATGATGACAGAGGGAAGAGGGGTATTGGAGAGATGCTGAGAAGCAGGGTTGGGGGGAATGCTGGAGGTCGGGGGAGATGGTACCTTGAGGGTGAGGCATGCCTTGATGGTGGCCGCCAAGGAGTGGCAATCGCGGTAGGTGAAGAGGAAGAGATTCCACTCGAAGTTCATGCCACAATCCTTGACACCATATACCAGGTCCAGCTCCTCCAGGTAGCTCAGGCCAGCCACCAGATCACCCAGCTGGTAGTGGTCTGTGGTGGACTCCTCCACTTCCCCCTCGCTGCCGGAGTCTGACTGGTCCACGGCCCGGGGCGGGGACGGGAGGCGCACGGGCGGAAGGAACTGATCCACGTGGAGCCTCCGCACGTAGTTCCTGCATAGCGGCACCATGTCCAGAATGACCGCAGGGTCCGTGGTGCCAGGGATAAAATGCTTTAGCAGGTTCTCCAGGTGGCGCTCGAAGAACATGTGCTTCCAGCTGCCACCATGCTGGGCCACGTAGCACACAGGCCAGCGCTGCGTGCAGCAGCGGCGCCAGTAGCCCTCATCGTCTATCAGGTTGGCGGTCACAGTCAGTGGCAGGTCAGGGGACAGACGGCTCAAGACCTTCTGCTGGTGCTCTGGGAGCAGCTGCTTCAGGATAGGGTTGTCTTTAGGAACCAAGGAAGAAAAGCAGGGTCACAATGCTGGGGACACCACAACAGGGTGACTTGGCCTGGGTTTGCATGGGGACACTAAGGAAAGGTAAGACCTTCCCCCTGGCCTCAGGGAGTTGCAGTTTGCTCTGAGGGAGGCTCAGTCTGAGGCTATGGGGTGTTCCCTGCCTAAAGCATCTGGTCTCAGGGAGCTCCCAGTCTGAGGAAGAATCTCAGGTCCCAAACTCATTTTTCACCTAGTCTGATGGAAGAGACAGTCCCTGACTTCAGAGCCTCCCAATCTGAAAACAAATTTTTCAAAACAAATATTTTTTTGAGTACCTACTATGTGCCAGGCACTGTTCTAAGTGTTGGAGATGTAAAGTGAACAAAACAGAGGACTTCGCGCCTCCTGGAGTTGACAATCTAGTGAGAAGAGACAGACAATAAACAAGTCATGTGAATATGTACTAGGTTAGGTGGTGATAGCTGTTGTAGGCAAAATGATGGCCTGTCCTCAGCGAGCTCCATATTTGGTAGGAGAGGCTGGTAATTCATCTTTAGAAAGGTTTACAGAGCATAGAGTACAGAACAAACTGGAAGCCCATACATGGCATGGAAGACTCCATTAGAGTGGAAGGCTGTTAACCTGGGTGGGCTTTCCGAGGAGGAAGATAGAGGCTGGGTTTTGCTGAAGAGAGAAAAGGCAAGGAGAGGACACAGGCACGCAGTGTGGATGGGATCTGCAAGTGGGAACAGCAGGAGAAACTGTCTTGGCCCTGGCTGGAAAGGGAGTGTTGAGTGGCATGAGGATGTCACATGGGAAGCCAGAAACTGCCCAGGACCCCTAGGTTCTGAGGCCTCAGCTCCAGACAGTATCCACCCACCTTGGCCCACTCCCGGTCTTCTCTTTCCCATGCAAAGCAGGGAGAGACTGACTTACTTTGGAAGTTCCTGACAATGTGCTGAATGCAGAGCTCTGTGAGGAGGGGCACAATGGCCAGTGACCACTCAGGATCCTCAGCAATGATCCGGCGCATCCGATAGAAACTGTTCCCTGAAGTTGGGGGTTTTGACTTCACAGAGGCAGGTGTGACCATGGGCTTCCAAGGCTGTGAACCTGTGATTCCAGTGGAAGTCTTATCTTGGGTGGAGAGCGAGGGGCGGCTGACGGCTGATGGTTGTGGTGTTGTTACAGTGTCTTGCATGCTGGGGGCTGACAATGTAGGGGCAGGTAGCCCCTGGGTGGCTTTACAACAGGAAGCTGTTCAGATTGGCAGGCCCTCGCTGCACGGAGGGACCTGAAATGAGAGAAAGAGGGAAGAGGTATTACTGTGGAGAGTCTTGGTGGGCATTTACCAAGAGAGGTGGTGCAGAGTGGTACTTAAGGGCAGCGGTTCTCAACCTGTGGGTCACGATCCACAGGAACTATATTAAAGGGCTGAGGCATTAGGAAGATTGAGAACCACTGCTTAAGGGTCAATTTCTAGAGCAAAGCAGATCCAGGTGCAAATTCCACTGACGGAAGTTTGAGACAAGTTACTGAACCTCTCTGAATTTCAGATAATGCCTCTGTGAAATGAGGGTTAACAGTCCCAGTAGGATTATTTGGAGGAGTGAATAAAATAATGTATCCAAAAGGCGTAATATGTTATCTGACACACGGAACTATAGCAAGGAGCAGCTGAAAATCTTAGTTTTAGACACTTTTTAGTTCTTTATGCCTATTAATTCATTTTTCCTCACAGAACCCTTTTAAAGATAGGAACTTGTATTATTTCTGTTCTGATGGGAAATTGAAGAACAGAGAGGTTGATTGACTTGCCTAATGTCACACAGCTTATAAGTATCAAGAATGGATTTAAACTCATTTTATCAAGTTCATGCTCTGAACCCTACATTATGTTGACTCTCTTTGAGGGTTAGGAATGAGAGAGTGTATTGCCAAAAGATGGAGGTACAATAAATAACTATTTAGTTCAAAATAGGACCCCATACTAAATATTTTATAGAACAGCAACTGCCTGGTCCAGAGGCTAGGGTTGAGAATAGCTCTGGCTAACAGAAGTATAATGCAAGCCAAAATGCATGCCACATAAGCTATTTTAAAATATTTCAGTCTTCATATTAAAAAATAAAGAGAAACAGGTGAAAAAAAATTTAATGGTGGCAGAATGTACTCACACACACTCTTTTTTTCTTTTCTTTCTTTTTTTTTTTTTTTTGAGACAGCTTCTCACTCTATTCCCCAAGCTAGAGTGCTGTGGCATCAGCCTAGCTTACAACAACCTCAAACTCCTGGGTTCAAGTGGTCCTCCTGCTTCAGCCTCCCAAGTAGCTGGGACTACAGGTGCCTGCCACAACCCTTGGCAAATATTTCTATTTTTAGTAGAGAAAGGTTCAGGCTGGTCTTGAATTCCTGAGCGCAAGAGGTCCTCCCATCGTGCTAGGATTACAGGTGTGAGCCACCACGCCCATCCAAAACGGTGAAATTAATTTTATATTTAACCCAGTATGTCCAAACTATTCTCATTTAAATATGCAATCAATATAAAAATTATAAATGAGAATTTTATATCTGTTTTCATACTGAGTCTTCAAAATCTGATTGGTCAATCAGCATATTGAGCCTGTGGCTATTATTTTGGATAGTGCAGGTTGAGAGAGAAAGGAGAAGGGAACTAGCTTGGGTGCCAACACCTTCCTCTTCTCCTGCCCACTGAGGAGGGCTCAAGCTCTGGGTCCGCTCTTTTTCATTTCCCCATTCTAGTCTTCCTTCTAGTTCTCCCAGCCTCCAGCTTCGAGACAGCAGCGTGCAGGCGTGGGAGGCGAGAAGGCAGCTAAATCTGGGGCTGAATACAGAAGATAGAGGATGTGGTTGGGTTTGGGGACCCTCCCCATTTGCCCATTCCTGTACCCGTGCTGTGGGCACCCCTGCCTTGAGAACTACAGGGGAAATTGGGGCTGCCTGTCACTCAGTTTCTTTCCCAGGGTGTTTCCCATCAGATTTGTACCCTGACTCTGTGCACTATATAGTGGCACTGTATAGTGGCCGGCGGGAAGGAACACTCTGAACCAGCAAAGGAGTCCTTGGCAGAGGGAGGGACCAGATGGTGCTCCCCAGCCTGCCAGGCATTTCAAGGAGGAAAAGCCTAGCTGAGGGGGGATTGCGGGGAGAAGGACAGTGTAGGGAAGATATCTAGGTATTGTGATATCCCTTATGCAAATGGGGAAATTCACAAACAGATTGTGTCCAGAACTGTGGGATGACCAGATCATGCTTTTTGACTAACGGCCCCTAAGAAGGTGGGGCTGGGAGTGGGTGTTGCTTAGAGGCACCAGCTGACTTTGTATTTCTGGCTTTGCCAGTTATTTGCTGTGTGATATTGGCCAAGTTACTTAACCTACCCAAGCTTCAGTTTCCTTATCTGTAAAATGGGAAAATGTCTTCCTCTGTGGGCTCTTGTGCAGATTCCTTTGAGATATGTTGGATTAATATTGATAATATTTGTGAAGGGTCCTGGGGGTGGAGGGCTGTGGAGAATGAGACACTAAGGCTTGGGACAACAGGCCCTGGAGACCTGCTTCATGAGTGCTGACCTGAGATTGTATCTCTAACTGAGTGCAAGGCTTCTGAGGCCCTTCCTTATTTCTAGGGGGGATGTGAAAGGTGAGGTTGCAGTAGTGGAGTTGGGGGCTACACAGACAGTAGGACGGAGGTAATGGAAGGGAGTCAAAGGCAGCAGGCCAGCCTGCTTCTGCCAGCCCTGCATCTGGGCTCCCTGGCTCCTTCCAAGGTTCTGACCTAAAACATTCTGTATTTCCCCTGATTCCAGGTGTGTCCCAGGACATCGGTAGGCCACACTCAGGGGAGCAGGACTAGGCTTGGTGGGGGAGCCCCAGGTTACTCATGGGTGTCACCCTGGAGTTGGCTCTTTGGGCATTACTCACGCCACCACCCACCTTCCCCATCCTGGGAGGCAATCCTTTTTCATTCCTCATGGGAGGCCACACCTTGGGAAACCCCACCTGGGGCCATGTGGGATGCCCTCTGCAATAGGGTAATGTTAATTTCATTGCCTAGTCCCTTACTTGATCATATCCTGGCACTCTTCCTGAGGTCTGATCTTAACTGTTTTTGCTGCCTTTTGATGCTCCCAGCCTGCCTCTGGGCATGACACAACAGGACCCATCCAGGAGCATGTTCCAGGGCCCTGAACCAACTCCTCAGAAGGAAAGAGTAGACCCTCACTTCATATGGCTGCTGTCATGTACATGGCTAACAGAAAAATGAGCCACTACCATCTTTCAACATTTGCAGAAAAATTCATACCTTGAGGAATGATGTTTTGCTTTCTAAGAGACAATCTGGTTCTGGTGTCCAGTCTAGAGTGCAGTAGTACAATCATAGCTCAAACTGCCAGGCTTAAATAATCTTACTGCCTTGGACTCTGAGTAGCTGGGACTATAGGCGTGCATATCTAGTTAATTTTAATTTTTTTTCTAATTTTTCATAGAGATGGGGGTCTCACCATGTTGCCCAGCCTGGTATTGAACTCCTGGCCTCCAGCAATTCTCCTGCCTTGGCTTCTCGAAGTGTTGGGATTATAGGCATAAGCCACTAAGCCTAGCTCCTGGCCCTCTGATGTTATTATTATTATCTTTTTCTGATGTTATTTTTAAGGCAAATGTTGAAAACCTTAACTGTATAAGAAGATCAAAGTTGGTAATTTTCAGTTAATAATCTCTTGATTAAAAAAATAGATATCACAAAAATATTTTTGGCAAGCAAATTATTACCAGATGCAAAGTATTCTTCTTCTTCTTCTTTTTTTTTTTTT